ACTTTTCTGATACTGAAGAGTCCTAACACTAACGCGTCATCTTAAATGCATGTACTTGAGTCATTCTGTGGTGTAATGTCTTTGCAATGCAGCTCCAAATTCAAGAACCAAATCGATTAGAAGATGCAGTAAGCATTTTCTCAGCCTAACGTCACATCGATACTTACTCTTCATCCCAAATATCCCAGGGAAGCAGGTGACTTGCTTCTGGGGGAGATGACAGTGTGTTTTACTGTCCCTGGCTGTGGAAGATGTATTTTCAGACACTGTCTTGTTCTCATCGGCTGCTCTCTCCCCGTGTGAGGCTTTAGCGTGGTGCCAGTCTCCGTGCTGTAAGGGGACGTGCACAGCAGCGTCTCTCAGGCTGAGACTGGCTGGGGAGCAGCTCTGGGATCGGGGTGCTCGGGTTCCAGCACTGCACGCTGTGCAGACATGAACTTAACACCTCAGAGAGCGTTAAGTACCGTGAGCTCGGTTTGGGTCTCCTTCCACCTTGCGTCCTTCCCCGGGATGACCTGGAAAAGCCTCTCGGCCCCGTTATCACAGCGGCTGGTGCTGTGGGTGCCAAGCGGCCGTTGCCGGTGGGTGGCTCTGCTGCCCCACTGCCTGTCCCCGGTGGCTTGAGCTGCCCAGGGTGACCCTGGGGACAGAGGTTGGGCAGCTGGTGGCTGTCCTGGGGCTCCTGCGGAGAGCGGCTCATGGTGGGGCCAGCTCACGGCAAGGCTGGCTTATGACAAGGCCGGCTCATGGTGGGGCCGGCTTGCAGCTCTCCGGAGAGGGCTGGCTTCCTCTGCCTCTGCCACCGCTGCAGAAGTGAGCTCCAGCAGTCCTCCAGTGTCTTCTCTGGGTGCTTGCAGTGTTCCTGTGCGAGACTCATTTCTCTTCTTGTGTGTGTGAATGAGGGATGCTGGGCTGTGCTTGTTTAGAAAAACCAACAAAGCGACAGGAGCTGGGAGATGAGGAGCAAAAGGGTTCTGTGCTGCCTTCCCATGCCTTGGACCACCTCGACATCCCAACCGTCCTGCGGGGCCCGCTGGAGCAGCCCTGAACGCGGCCTCTGCACGGAGCAGGGAAGCAGCACGGAGCGAGGCCGCCCATCCCGAGCTGTCAGGGCTGGGTCCCAGTCTTGGAGCCACTTGTTCCTGTAGCACAACGGTGCTTCCTGGCGATATTGGGCTGCATCTGTAGAGCTGTTGCTCTCTGTCCTGCTCTCCGAGTGCCTCGCGCCTCCTTGGCAGAGCCCGAGGGTGCCTCTGCCCTGGGGGACGCCCCTTGCTGTGGTGGTGCTGGGCAGCACCCTGCAGGTTGTGGTCGGTCCCTGCTGGGGGATTTCCCGCGGAGCCGTGCCGTGCCGTGCCGCCGGGCGCTGTGACACACACGGAGGGTTGCGGAGCTGCTCCCCACAGACCCTTTGCCCTACGGTGGTCACAGACTGTGGGGACCCTCAGGGCAGGGTCTGTGTGTTGACTTGTGCCAGCAGCTGGTGCCGTGCTGGTGGAGGGGCTGAAGCAGCGGCGTCCTTTCTCCTGTCTCCCAGGGGATCATAAGCCTGGCGCTGCGACGGTGCTTCACCTCAGGCCCTTTGCCGTGGGGTCAGCCTGGCCCAGCCCTGTGCTGGCCACCTGCTCTTGCTGGGTCTTTGCCAGCGACTAAAGCTAAATGGTGTTTCTTCCTGCTGCTAGTGCTTGTTTATCAAGGCACAGATTAATTTAGGGACTGGTGCTCCAAATGAAGCTGAACTGGAGCTGGATTGGGGTCATTTCTCTTCCCTTTCTGTGATCTGACAGAGTGCATTTTTCCACAGCATTTCTTTTTCTTCCCCCCAGCTCCCCCTTATTGCTGGTAATTATATTTCTAATTTGCTATCTCATGTGTAGGTCATTATCAGGCATTGAAACTTGCAGTTTCTCTCCTCCACCAAGTATGTGTGTGTGGGAAGTTTTACAAAACAGGATTAGTTTTTGCTGAGACTCATCTTACTGTCTAGAAACATGTTGCATTTTGTCATATATATACTTGATGTATACCTCGTGATGTATATACTTGATGGTATAACATCCTGCTTACTTAGGATGAGAACTTTATTCATGTCATCTTGCTTCCTTTTAATATCTTCAGTGTTTGATTGGCCCCAGATGCCATCCAACCTCATTCTTCCGTTCAGGTCTTTGACAGTATTTATTGTTGCTAATACACATTCCTTCAGCCCTCAGCTGGTATGATGGTGGCATATCCATGAGAATTTTGATTAATTAAAGTCATGCAGACCAAATGTCATGAAGCAGTTTTAAACAGTGCCTCTAAACCGTGGCATCTCGTCCATTCCCATGGTCCAGTAATTTTACAGTTCTCAGTGGAAAGAAAACTTCTGGCAGTCTGTTAGAAGTCATGCTTTTCCTGATGAAGCTATTTTTAATAAAACAGTCCATAACTGCTTTGGGCTTATAGCTCACTTTCGCTGTAGACCACTGTTCTTCTAAATGTGTCCTGACATTCACAGGTCACTGGCATCGTTAAAGGCTTTGATGATTAATTAAACAGCCAGCTAATCTGACAAAATCCTCCTCCCTGCTTTTGATTGGCTCCTCACTGTTCCTGGTTAATTGATGGAAATTAATACTTTTTATATACCCACTGTTTTACAAAATTGACCTCTGTGACGAGCTGTCAGAGCGGAGGAAGCCTCGAGCAGTGACTGGGGGAAGGCAGCAAGTGCTGGGGGCAGCACGTGCTTGGGACGGGCCTGGGAGAGATGGCTTGTAGCTCCCCGAAACAAGGACTGAGGAAAATGGCTGAGAAATCTAAGTCACTTGTCCCCCTCGTTTGAGCGGGATGTGACAGGGCCGAGGGGTGGAGGGTGCTGGAGGAGGGGGTGGGTGCACACGGGAGTGCCCGGGGGGAGCAGGGGGTGGGGAGCAGTCGTAGCCCCCCTGCGAGATGGGAGTTAGAGCAGCAGTGCCCGCTGCAGTAAAGCAAAGCACTTCATTCTCTCCCCTTAGGAGTGTTTTGGTGTGGATTTCCATGTAAGAATATGTTGTAGCTGCTGCAGGGAGAGCAGAGGCAAGGCTGTGACACAGCTTGTCATGGGCGATGTCGGGGTGAGCGTGTGGCGGCTCTGGTGGCCGTGTCGGGAGTGCTCGGTGGGGGCTGATGGGTCTGATGGCTGCACCGGCACCGTGTGGCAGCTCTGGAGATTGGGCTGGCAGCACGTGGTGGCTCTGGAGGTTGGGCTGGCAGCACGTGGTGGCTCTGAAGAATGGGCTGGCAGCACGTGGTGGCTCTGAAGAATGGGCTGGCAGCACTTGGTGGCTCTGGAGAATGGGCTGGCAGCACGTGGTGGCTCTGGAGAATGGGCTGGCAGCACGTGGTGGCTCTGGAGATTGGGCTGGCAGCACGTGGTGGCTCTGTGTGTGCGGTGGGGTCTCTCCACAGTGGTCAGAGGCTGAGGCCTCTCAAGCAAGGCACAGGCAATAAGTTGAGCGGTAGCAGCTTAGATCACCTCCGTTTGGAGAGCACACATAGCTCTGCCACCACCTCATTCCGTAGGATTGTCACCAAATTGCTGTCTTCTGGGCCAGCTCACCTGCTGGTTCCGCTAAGTATCTTGAGTAAAATACTAATATATGCTACGTATCTGGAATTAAGGCACGTGCTTCAGGATGGACTTATTGTAAATTATGCATATCTGTAACAGTGTAAAATGATTTGTGAAGTGTTTTATTTAGAGTCACAGAATGTTTTGGGTTGGAAAGAACCTTCAAAGATCATCTAGTCCAAGCCCCCCGCAATGAGCAGGGACATCTTCACCTAAATCAGGTTGCTCAAAGCTCCATCTAGCCTGGCCTTGAATTTGATAAAAAACCTTAGAAATTAAGTAAAGCATACTTTTAACATTTTCTTCACATTTCTTTGTTAATGTTCAATGTCTTCTGTTGAAATCCTCCCTTTCCTTCTTAGTGCTGTTGATGAAGGCTCTGCACCTCCTCTTTAGAGTTGCAACCGTGTTCATTTAATTGATATTCTTGTTTCAGCTTGCATTAGGCCAAAGTGAATGTATAGTTGACATTTTTCATGGTTACTGACCATTTTTTTCTTGGTGAGAAGCCTTTCTTAGCACCAAGAAGCTGTGATTTTTATATGGTTGTTAGACCATTTTTAGTCCACTGTGTTTCCCCAGATTCTTACTGCATGGACACGCTCAATCCTTGCCTTTTTCTTCACTGGGTTGGTTTAGAGTTTTTCCTACTTCTTGTGCTGTTGCGACCAAAGTAATCTCATTCCGCCTCAGGGTCTTTGTTTTCTGTGGGAAGCATGATATAAATTTCCGTATAGACCCAAAGGAATCTGCAGTATTTAAATGCAGCAACCTGCAAACTGCAGTTGCTAATAGACGAAAAATGCAAATTTTTTAACGGGGTAAAATATGGAAGTAAGGCAGTCAATGTCGGCCCTCCTAATACTATTTAACTTACTATTAACTTTAGTTTATTTGTCAACTTGAAATTCCTTTGTACAGCAGAATTTTTATTGAAAATGTGGTAATATTGTAAAGTTGTCCTGTGTGAACCCGGAGGCTGTGGTTGCCTGGGAACAGTCAAGCTTTCGGTTGCTGTTGGGAGGCTGCCAAGGCTCCACATGTTGGACAAATACTGGCTGAATCGATCATCAGGGGAGTGGTTAATAAATTTATCAACATTGTCATTATTTTTCTGTAATTAAAAGCCACCGAGCAGAGGAGCACGCCTCTTCCAGCATCTCCTCGGGCTCGCCGGCGGGCTCTGCTGCCAGCGTGGGCTCAGCGGGCTGCTGGGATGCTCCCTGGCCGGGGTGGCGAGGCGCTGGGCTCGGCCAGCGGGGCTGTGCGGCGGTGCCGGGACCCCTGCCCACAGCAGCTCCTGCTCTGAGGCCTCGGTGGCGGCGGAGATGGGGACGTGCCACGTGCCTCGGCCACGGGAGTGTGATCCCTTCCCGGGGCTCGGGGTGGAGCCATGCGAGGAGGCCCGAAGTGAGACAGAAACTGAATTAACGGCAAAAAGTGTTGGGGAAGTTTCACAACAGAATGGATCAGCAGGTGAGTGCTGAAGCAAACTGATTTAAAAAACCAAAACAGTAGGTAATTACTGAAGCAATTTTAACTATGGAGCGGATGAGTAGGTAGCAATAACGTGCGTTTAATTTTCACTCAAAACAGTTATTATATCAGGGAAAAGAGATTAGCAAGAAGGAGCTGTTGAAGCCATCTTTAGCAAAAGCCTTGGTGTCAACGTGGAGAGCCAAGGACCAGTGAGCTTATGTGTGGTGGTTACACTGTTAGGGGAAAACAGGAAAGCTGATCAGCTGGAAAATAATTTCTGGTGAGATTTAACCACTGCATTTTCAGGTCATGTCTCCCTAATCTGTTAATTCTTTAATAAGAGAGCTGACTGATGGGTTTACCAAAACTTGAGAAGAGCTTGATGGAAATTCTTCCGGAGGGCTGTAGCCGTTAGGTGGGGGTGTGGGGAGAAGAGCTGCCGTGCTCCCAGCACCGGGCACAGGGGTCGGCATTGGGAAGCATGAACAAATGGTGAATTCTTGTCTTCAGGAGCATTTGTCAGGGTGCTGAGGGGCAGGAGAACGCTCTGTCCAGAGTATTAATGATTTGGCGAGAAACAGGAACACAGCCAGCAGGTGGGTGTGAGTGCGGGGACACTGGGTCAGACTGCGGGGGCCCAGCCAGGTCCCACGGGCAGCGACGGGCAGAGCTGTTGCTGCTGGAGGGGTGAAGACAAACCCTGGAGGGGTGAGGCAAGGGACTGCACGTGGGGTACCCTCCCCAGGGGCCGTGGTGTCCCTGCCCTCGGCGCCTCTCAGCACCCGTCTGGCCACAGCCCTTGGCAGCTGCTGGCCCGGAGCCAGCCCGGCTTTCTCCAGGACCCTTCCCCTGGTGTGACCCGAGACTTGCTGGTGTGGAGCTGCACAGTGAGCACATGCCCAGGCGTGAGGAAATACCAATTCTTTGCCCTGCTTTGGCTCTAGTAGTTTCACTTAATACCCTCCTGAGTTTTGTTTTGAAAGAGACTGTTGCTGGTGGGTAGGAGTTAGTGTAATTTAACAGAAATGATGCAGTTGTGACAAAGTGTATGTGCAAAATCTTGGAATCTTAAGTATGAGGAAAAGGTATCCAGCCACAGAATTAGCCTGGTTGTTGAGACCTTGAGGCAGAGGGGGTGTAGGTGGATGTAAGATGGGAGAAGCTGTAGCTTTGAAGAAAAGAGTGGTAGTAGACTGTAACCCAAGAGTTATTGCTGCAATTAGAGCCGGATCTGGGTAGGGTGCTGTGGCTGGGTTAAGCTGCACGCCCGACAATGCACGCCGTGCTGATTTGTGGGTATGACTATGCAAGGGAAGGTACCGGGGAGACCAATTTGGAGTCGATTGCCAGCGCCCGGCGGCGTGCTGTTGAGCAGATCAGCACGAGTGTGTCTAATGAAGATGTCCTATCTGTCACCTTGTCTTGTGGTGTTTGCATCAGTTCCCAAGGAGATAATACCTGTTTATCTTTTCCGTGCCACTTCTGGTTTTGTCATATTCCTTCTGTCTTCTCTTTCCCAGAGTGAAGTCTTGTCTGTTTAGCTGAGCCTCACACGGGTGCCACTCCAGGCCGTTGGTCTTTTCTCCCTTGTCCGCCCCTTGTCCACTTCTGGTACGACTTTTCTGAAGGGGAGGTGGGTCTGCAGGTGGCCTCGAGGACACAGGCATGCCGGGGGCTCACACGGCGCTGTGGCAGCACTTTTTGTTCCTTTGGTCCCTGCTGTTGTGTTGGGGCCCCTGCTGCGCGTGGCTGTGGTGGGCCGCAGGATGGCGGGTCGTGGCCAGGCAGCAGCCAGCCCAGAGCCCGCCGCCGGTTGCGTGGCGCTTGCGTGGGGCTGCTCTGCTCTACGCACTCCCCTGCCGTGTGCCTCTGTCGGGTCCTTCTGCTGGGGTTTGCAGCCGGCTCTCAGTTTTACCGCAGCAGCAGTTACCTTAGTCGTTGGCTCGCAGTTCATCTCTCCTTCCCAGACCCTTCCAGACATGTGAGCAGCACAGACACTGCCACGAATCCTGTGGGGCTCTGCCGTGGAAACTGCCCGGCTGTGCCGGCCTCCTGGCATGGCACAGCGCTCGATCCAATCTGGGGGTGAGACCCCCTCCTCCCTGGGCAGGAGAGCTCTCCGGCTGCACAAACCTCCCTGGAAGAGCTGGAGCCCAGAGGGGCAGTTCAGGGGGACATAATAACAAAAGCATCAAAACCCCAGTGGATAAGGATCAGCGTTGGTGATGCAAAATAAGGTGCATTAAAGAGAGAAACATGAACTCCTTTAATGCTTGTGCCGTTGGCTAAAGGGAATGCATCAACACGGAAAGGGACTCGGAGGGTCCTTATGGATCGTGAGGATCATAAAGATCCATAAGGACCTAAACTTACATTAATCCCTGGGTTCTTTCGTTAGCATCATCCATAAAGATCTTAAGGATCTGTTAGGATATGTTAGGAATTACTGTTTTGCAATATTCTAAGTATAAAAATAGAGAAGCAGGAGTAAATATATTGCCTCTATTGACAATTTTTTTCCTGTAACTAAAAGCAGTAGTGGAGTTATGAATAAAGATGTGAGGATTGGTGGCATAAATAAGAGCACAAAAAAGCCCCCCTGGGCCAAACCAGTGTCTGTCTGACCCAGTATCTGTGTCTGGCAGTGACCAAAGGACGTGCTGGTCAGGGGGTGCCAAACTCTGGCCACTTTCTGCAGCCCATTCCCCTATGCCCCTCCAGTTTCATCCGCTGCTGGTTTAGGGTTGTGAGAGGCTGCATCTCCATCTTCTAATTTTTTTTATACACATAGAGCAAATTAGACCTGGCCCCATCAAAATAAATTATCTTTTAATTAATTCAAATGCAGAGTTTTGCAGGTAACAAAGGACCTGATCGATCTAGTGGAAGGTGTCCCTGCCCATGGCAGGGGGCTTGAAACTAGGGTGGTCTTTCAGGTCCCTGCCAGCCCAAACCTTCCTGTGGTTCTCTGACTAATGCCAGATCTAGAAAATGGAGCTTTATCCTGGAAAGGATGGGGGCTTTGGCTGTCTGAAGGGAATGGAGCGGGCAAAGTAAACTGAACCCGAACTGCCACATGCTTCAGTGAAAAGCGCTAATGTGATGCCTGGAGATGGAAGCAAGGGGATAGTGAGTTGAGGTGAGGACAGTATTTTATAGCTGTATATGACAGCTGGGAGACAGATGCAGGAATATTGCCTCTGGCTCTGATTCTGCACTTTAAAAAGTGTATTTAAAATTAAAGAGGGTGCTGAAAAGAGCAATAGAATTATTTGAGATCTGGAGAAAATGCACTACAATTTATGAACATAATAAGCCTCTTCCGCTCGCCCTAAGCAGGACTGAGAGGTGACAGTGTTAAATGGAGGCTACCAGCATGGCAAGGAACGGAGTATTAAAGAGCTATTCAGTATCACAGAGAAAGATATAGCAAGAAATAATGATTATACTGGGAGTTTAGACAAGGGAAATCAAATGAGAACTAAGACATATCTTTTTTCATTGAGGATGACTTGTTTACTTATAATTTATCCAAGGAGGGAGCATGTTTCTTATCGTGATGTTTTTAGAGTCAAGTTGGATGCCTTTCAGGAAACTGTTGGCCAAATTCAAGTAATTTATTTCATTAATGGAGTTATGGGTTGCAACTTATGGGGCAGTGATACACTGCCCAGAAGAGATGATCTTACGGGCCCTCTTGGCTCTGGATTTGCTGAATCAGGGGGCATGCTGAGTATGCGCTCCCAAGGCAGCTGCAGCGTGCTCTTTCCACAGGGTTCTTCCATTCTCTAGCCAAACTTGATTTCATTTGCTCCTTTATACTGAGAAATTTTGTGTCTCTTTCGCATGTGTCGCCTATCTACCCAACCAGCATGTCTCAGTCTTGATGCTGGATGAACAGAAGGTCTTATTCCCTCTGCTCCAGAAGAGGCTTTGCTCTGCCTGGCCTTTCTCAGCCCTAGATAGAGATAAAGCTTCCCAGGCCCTCATTTTCCAGCTGATCACAAGTTAGGCAGGTGGCTGTGGTCGTGGTGCTGCAGTGAGCCAAGCAGGAAACATTTGCAGGCCTCTGAAGGTAACAGCCATCCCTTTAACCTGTCCTGGGCTCTTCGGTGGGGTCATCCGAGGTACAGGTCCAGCACTTCTGCATTTCCCTCTGTGCTGTCGTTCCTGTACGAAAGGTTCAGTGGTTGGATGAAACCGGCGGGTGATTTTGCACTTCAGCAGCCCTTTGCATGCAGGTGGCTAATAATAAAGCTGTTGTAGCTCTGTGTAAGAGGGAGGTTTTGCCTGAACCAGTCACTTAGTGTTAATCAGGAGTTGAATCTCTTTAAACATTCATTTCAAGCTGTGTTTGTGTCAGAGGCAGCTGGTCCTCTGAAAGCCCTGACTAGTGGGACTATGGGATGGGGCTGGTTGTCACTGTCAGTGCTGCTCAAGAGTTGTAATAAGGGGGCTCTTGGACTCTATTTTTTAAATAGAAGTATGAATGGCTTCCTGCCTCTGGCAGTGGATTCTGGGGGTGATACAACAGTAAGCAACATCCTTCCAGACTGTCTCATAAGCAGCAACTGTTTCACTGGAAAACCCATAGAACCAAAATACTTTGTTATCTACAGCACGTAACTCTGCAAGAAGGGCTGGTGCACCAGGGACTTTCCTGCGGGGAGCTGAGAACCTCCCTCCTGCTCTTTATCTTGTTTCCTTTTGGTGGAGGCAGCTTCTCTCAGCGTGGCGTTCAGCACAGCGGATGGCAGGGCAAGAGCCTTCCTCAGGAGGTGAGCTAAGCCCAGAAATTCCTGTTGTTTTGCCAGCATACACAACTCGCTCTCTGAGCTGGTCCCGCTTTGCCTTTTGCCAGCATCCAGCGCTGATTTCTTCTCTCCTCCACTAAAGCGCAGAGTGGAGGTTGCTCTGCCCTGGTCCCTGCAGAGTCCAGCTCCTTCCCTGGACCATGGTCACGAAGGGACACGAGCTGCCACGGTTCAGCCCACCCCAAGGTCCCTGTCCAGGGGCCGTCTGTGCATGGGGGCTGCTGCTGCCTCCCCAGGCCCTGCCCCGGGAGCTGCTGCTGGGTTTGAGGGGTGACTGGTGGGAGCGCTCCGGGCGGTTCCCGGGCTGGGAAGGATCCCTTCTCCTGCTGGCATGTGAGTGAGGTCAGGAGGATCCTGCGGGGTTTCACACGCTGCAGGGGACCAGTGACGCCTGCCCCAGGTGGCAGGAAGAGCTTCTACCGAGACTGCTGCTGAGGGGTAAAACAGGTAATTAGGAAGGAAAAAATGGGAGAAAACCAAACATAATCTTCTAAGGAAAGGTGAAAAAGTTACCTGTGCTTGTTTGTTTTATACATAGCATCTGTCCTGTAACTTTGTCCCAGTGCTACGGGGAGGCACGCACTGCCCGCCCGGCGCGAGCGCCTGCCGCCCGCTGCTGGGGCGCTCCGCTCCAGCTGCCCCTCGGACACGGGGCCTGTGTCCTGTGCAGACTGCTCGGTGCCTCTGGTCACCTTTGTCTTCTTTCCCTTTACCTTTTTCCTGTTTCTGTTGTTTCCTGAAGGACAGGGCCACCAGACCTGCACGTGATGCACAAGGTCTGGGTGTGCTGCCAATTCATGAGTGTCACTGCAGCCCCTCTGCAGCCCAGATCCCGGCATAGGCCCGCGTGACTCCGCTGCTGAACTCCCACGTCAGGAAACCTGCCTGGTTGACCTTCACCTTTGTTTACTGTCTTCCTGGTTGAGTAGGGATCCAAGAGAGTGTTTTCTTGCCTCTGGCACTGGAGTTTATGGCAGCAAGGGACCTTGCTGAAAACATTTAGGAAACCCGTGTGCGCACTGGTGAGCAGGCCGGCCTTGCTCTGGTAGCTGTGGGTTTCCTCCAGGCTCTCCTTGCAGGTGTGAGGCATGACTCCACTGAAAATAAGCAGATTTTCAGCAGTTAAATGTTTGAGCTCCTTTGGGTCGCAGAGCACTCCTGGGTATCAGCACCTGAACCCGGGGGTTCGCAGGCTGCGGGGCAGAGCACAGCCAGCACCGTGCGCGGCCGTCGGCACCGCTCGCGGTTGTGCTCTCAGATCCGCCCTGCTCCCGCATCCAGTGGGACAGCCGCATTCCGCTTCTTTTTTATTTTATTCCTCTTGTGTGAGACCCTTTGTGTTGCTCTGTTGGAGGGTGGCGAGCAAGGAGCCCGTCGTGCAGCCAGCCCTCGCGGGAGGAGCTCGGGACCCCTCCTGGGATGACTCTCGAGCCTCGGTTCCTTGCCGGCCTCAGCCCCTGTCCGTCAGGCTCGCCTCTTGCTCCGCATTTGCTGGTTTTGATGACTTCAATGCCATTGTCATTCTGCATGTGGTGTGGCAGGATTGTGCTCTTTTCTGTTCCCATTCAGAGGCAACTCCCATTCTTCTAAAGGAAATCTTTTACTTTTGATAGATTCCTCTGCTCTGTTGGTTTGGCTGCTCCATCTTTCTGTAGGGGCCTCTTAGAGGCTGTTTTTTCATTTTTGCCATATATTTGCTCAGAGCTTCTAATGTGATATTATGAAATATACTCCCTGCTGCCTGCAAGCACATTACCTTTTCAGCTGCTTCTTTTTAATTTCCTTTCAACTCTTTCTCATTTGTGTGCTCTTCAATGAAGAATTTTTGGCTTCTTTGCTCTTAAGGGATTGTTGAATGTAAGTTCTTTATTGTCATTATTGCAGGGTGGCTCTTGAATAGATCTTGTCTGTCATCCTGTGCATTGCTGAGGATTGAAGCTGAAGCTCTGAGCTCTTTCTTACTTCGGGAAGGAGTCATCCATGATGCCTAAAAGTTGAGAAGCTGTACTGTTTTCTTTCAGGAGTTCTTCCTAAGGCTTTGTCTGTTGTGATCAGAGCTTGTAATTGTATGGAAGAAATTATCGCTTGTAACTACAACAACAGAGTGAGCAACTTGTTCCAAGAGCTGCTCCCCCGCTGCCCTCCCCGCGCCTGCCCGCTGGC